TGCTACAGGCTGACTGTGCTCATTAGGTTTCCCAGAGACTTGCTCTGCTGCAGGTCCTGAGTCCTGACAACCACCTCCCCCTCCATCCATTTTGTGTGGGGTTAGGTGTGTTCTGAGAACACTCCTGGATCAGGCCCTGCAGGCCAGACACGAGGGAATGGAACCTTCTGGGGTGTCGGCGTGAGGCAGGTTCCCAGGTGTGATGCGGCTGTGTGCCTGCTCACTGGCAGAAACGTAGGCACCTGGGGGCTATAATGGTGGAAATGTAGCTGTCGAGGGACTTTAGGCACCTACAGGGTCAGGTGGCAGCTGAGCGTTGGTTTTCTGAATGCCCAGGGTGCCCCATGCTGGACTTGGGGGGTTAAAACGACAGTTAGGCACCAAACTCCTTTTCATGGATCTAGCCCTGAAGACGCAGTTGTACCAGACTTCACAGGAAAAACAACGAGGAGTCCTTGTGGCATCTTAGTGACTAACACATTTATTTGGGCATAATGTTTCGTGGGCTAGAACCCACTTCATCAGATGTATGGAGTGAAAAATACAGGAGCAGGTATTAATACATGAAAAGATGGGAGTTGCTGTACCAAGTGTGAGGTCAGTCTAACGAGACAATTCAATTAACAGCAGGATACCAAGGGAGGAAAAATCACTTTTGTAGTGGTAATGAGAGTGGCCCACTTCAAATAGTTGACAAGAAGGTGTGAGTAACAGTAGGGGGAAATTAGTTTTAGGTTTTGTAATGACCCATCCACTCCCAGTCTTTATTCAGGCCTAATTTGATGGTGTCCAGTTTGCAAATAATTCCAGTTCTGCAGTTTCACGTTGGAGTCTGTTTTTGAAGGTTTTTTGTTGAACAATTGCCACTTTTAAGTCTGTTATTGAGTGACCAGGGAGATTGAAGTGTTCTCTGACTGGTTTTTGAATGTTGTGATTCCTGATGTCCAATTTGTGTCCATTTATTCTTTTGCGTAGAAACTGTTCGGTTTACAGATTCTGTTTCACATGAGGCCAGGGTGAGTGAGCCAAGCAGAGATACTGGAGCATTGTCTTCTTCTCAGAACATTTCTCCTGGATTCATAGACTGGTTTAGAGACCAGTTCCATCCCAGTTAGTTTTGCCTGAAAAGAAACTATCTAACCTGACATATAGTGTTGGTGGAAGGGACAAACTTTTGATTCACCAGAATCCTGTCTGATCTGATCTGGTCGGTCTCTCTGCTGTTTGTCGGTTTAGGGTGTCATTTTGTTGTTGCTGGGCTCACCCACGTCTAGAGGTTCTGACAGGGCTGGGCCAGGTGTGTCTGGTTTTCTGTGGGCATGCATAGGCGGTCTTGGTGCTGTTATATGGACTCTTCAGCTTTGGGTTCAAGAGCCTTGGTCAGAACTTTCTGAGCATCTTCTGCAGCCTCATCCAGAAAGCTCTTCAGCATGTAGTACGTGGTCACAAAAGAAATTCCTCCCCCGGCTAGGGAGCCAAGGACTGGTACAAAATTCAGAACAAGTTCCAGCACCATCAGTGCTCCACATAGAGATCTGGAAAGTACAGTCAGTACAAACTCTTTTGTTATGGCTGAGGCCAGTGGAGACTTTTTGATAGCAGATTTCAGCTCTGCAACAGGCTTGCCAACCTGCTGAGCCAGTCTAGTGAGAGACTCATCATCCAAGCCAAAGGCCATGCAGTAACACTTCATGTGAAAAACCAAGATGGCTACATCACAGGCGAGAGAGAGGCCTGGAACAGGAACAGCACCAATAGCACATGACAATAGGGCCACTGCCCAAATATGCTCCTGCAGTTCAGCCTTTTTCTTCTCCAGGATCTTTGCCGAGATGTTGGGCATGGCCAGGATGAAAACGTGTCTCTTCTGATCATCCAGCTCATTCTGCAGGGTCTCCTGCAGGAGCTGGAAATCATAGTTGGCCAATTCCCAGCTGGAGAGCAGGAAAACCCGCGGGGAGGCCTCACCTGCTTCTCTCAGGTTCTTTATGCAGTCCTCCCTGATCTTCTGCAGGGTTCTCGCCTCATTGAAATTCTTTTTCCTTTTTTCAGCCCTCAAGTCAATATCCACTTTGGAGCGCACATAGTAAAACCTCTTCCCCATCTTGTGAATCTCGTGAGCCAGGGTGATGTGGTGGGAAGTGAAGCGCGTAGCGCTGACGATGATGAAGAAGTCGTAGTTGTTGAATTTTACCTGATTAAGGTATTTGTCTGCCTGAAATCTTGGTGTCCCAATTCCTGGCAGGTCCCATATTGTCACATTTGGGAGTCTGGGGTGTGGATAAGCCGTTGGCTCCATCGTTGTTTGTGTCACCCCAGTCTTAGCAGCTCCTTCATCGTCATCATGCAGGCCCAGGATGGCGTTGACCAAGGATGATTTCCCTTTACCTGCCTCTCCCGTGATGGCTATGTCCAATGGGGTGTTTTTTAATGATTCCAGCTTCTCCTGAAGTTCAGCAGCTGCTGCCGTGAGGTTTCCTCTCTCAACAACGGCCTTCAGTTCTTCAATTTCTCTTCTGGAGAATCTACCAGCCATGGCAGCCTTTGGTGGTGGCTCAGTTGCTCTTATCACTGATCTTAGAAAAAGGAAAAGAAAAATTCCAGTGATGTATTTTTATCAGGATAAATCATATCAACCCCTTTCCTTCAGAACCTGCGACTGGCTGGGGGAAAGGTTCATGTTGACATCAATTTTAACTGTATGAGGTTGTAATAAAGTTTAACACAGGCTGATTTTCCTAGAAGCAAACACCCAACCTTTAGCAGATGCTCTGGGACGTTTGATTCAATTAAAGAGGGGAAATAAACAGCTAAAGTTCAGTTCAAACCCACCTGCTCAGTACACTGTATTTTCAAAACATTCCCATACACACATTGCGGCTTGTCCCTAGCATGACCAGCTGATGAACTGCAGTGAACCTGCCATCTCTTCCCTCTACCCCAGCTGAGCTGCAGGGAAATGATCTACCAAAGATCTCCAGTGGAATGGTGCTTCACAACAATTACAATACACCCTACAGTGATTACTTTGAAAGAAGCCTCAGAGACATGTACTGAAAGTGGATTTGTTGCTTTTATTTGGAAATCATGCACTAAATAGAAGAAACCTTTATATGCTGAATTTCCTAAGAGAGATGGAAAAGCAGATGCAGTGGAAAAGATCAGCCTCTGAAAATTTAAATATGTAGCAGGGACCTCAAAAATATGTTGTAAATGTTATACATTGTTTAGAAAAGGCATGCCCCCCCAAATGTTGAGGCAACCCACTCAACATTTTAAAAAGAGGCATTAGTTTGTGTATATGAAAACGCTCGGCACCAAACCTGCACAAAAAGTTCCAATACTGTGTAAATTTTAATGTCTTTGATTCTTATCAGTTTTACAACATTTCTTAAAAATCGAGAAGCCCAGAAAAACCCTCTGCCCAAGCCCTGGCTTCAGGGTAAAGGAGAGAAGAGACAACTCCCCTCCAAGGGACACACTTAGTCCTGACTCACTCTCCTCTTCTGACAGGACTGAGGGGTTTTCCTGACTGCCTCCATTCTAAGCAACTCCCTGCTCCCTCCAGCCTGGGTGGGGCAAGTTTCAGTCCTTTCCTCCTTGGAACAGACCCTGACCTCACCCTGCCTGGCCTTTAGTTATTTCCTCATTCCTAGGAGTGGATGGGCAGTTTCTCTAGGGCAGAGCTGGCCTCTTCCCCCTCCCTGGACCATCTGTTAATCCCTTCCTGGCCCCATCCATGCTGAGAGGCCAGCACACAGAGCCCCATGCCCTGCAGACCCTCCAAGGGCTCAAGGACTAGCTGAGGAGAGGAGATTCCCACAAGCTCAGGGACAAAGCGGCTGCCCTGCCTGAGGGAGTCGATGTGATCCCAGCTAGTGACACCAGCTGGCTGCTAGGGGCAATGGGTCCCAGCCCGCTGTGCTGTGGGACCTGTCTGGCTCCCCCTGGGAGCTCTGGCACCTGAACCATCTCAGGAATGGAGCTGAAGGGCAGGTTATTTTTAAGTCTGTCTGACTCAGAAGAAAACTGAAAGTAACAAGCTGAGGTTCCTCTGGCACAGAGAGGAGCAGGCGCCGGGAGCTCATTCTGGTCCAAGCCCCACAGTAAACAAGACAAACCTGCCCTGGTCCCCTGTGTAACCTGTGTAGGCAAGGAGCGGCACTTCCTGCCAGAGTGTCCGTGAAGAGCAGGGAATTATATTTAAATGGGGATGGTCCAATCTGTGGAATTGCATGTGTTGAACACTGAGGGGTTGTGCTTCCTGCTGTCTCCCCTAGCCCACTCTTAACAGCCCTCTGCAGTATCCAGAATGCTGAAGGCATCTCACTGAAGTAGCATGGCATGAGCTACCCTGTCACAAAATGACAAAATCTTTTACCTATCCCTGACAAAGAAAAACCTACTCACACTACACTGATCTTGTGTGAAAAGAACCAAATCCCGATCTCGAAGAAGCAGAATGAGAAGATGGCACAATATCCAAATTTAATCATTACCTAGAAAATCCCAATGCAAATCCTATCACAGCAGAAGAACTTGCTGAGAATAAGGAACTGGGAACTCTGTTTAATCAACAATCAAGGTTTAGCCTTTGCAAGAATCTTCTCACCTACCTTCATGAGAGAAATGGGATTCCTAGACGGGTAGTACCCACTTCCTACCTTGGAATCATGTTATGACTGGCCCTGAATGAAAGGTGTAGGAGACAGTCAAGTGATCATGCTATATATGAAAACTCAAACATCCTATTGGCCTGGCATAAGTAAAAACATGTCCAATTACATGAAGGATGTTTCATTTGTAATAGATTTCAAAATACTTGACTAATTTTGAGCACCACTCCAAAGCCAAGGAATTACATTTCTTTGGTCAATCATTCAAATAGGCTGGGTAGGGCCTGTAACATAGTCATCTTGAGAAAATCATTATTTACTCATGGTGACTTGTTTATTTATGAAATAGATTGTATGTATACCTACACCAAATAACATGGCTCAGACTACAATCACTCATGTTTTCAGCAGATGGGTTTATCCCCAAAATAGACTCAGACAGAGATACTCTTTTTACTTCTGGTCTTATGGTTAACCAATGAAAAGCCCTAGGAATCCAACAGAAGCTCCATGAGCCGTATCATCCTCAATCTTCAGGACAGGTTGAGGGTATGATCCAAACTGTGAAATTTCTCTCTGAAAATGCCAGAGACTGGGACTTAAAGCTACCCTTAGCACTAATGGCTATGCATTCAACGCCTAACTGATCTACACAGGTTACATCTTTTGAAATAATGACTGGTCATCTGATGGTCTTACTAGTTCATTTACTATACCAAACACCAACTGAGAGAAAGCTATTGCTGATATATATGTCTCAGAGCTAAGATCTAGGTATCTACAACCGAATAGGATCCCATCTTCATGTGAGTTCATATAAAACCCTCAAAAACCTCCACTATTCCTCCAGATAGAGTCAAGAAGAAGTTATTCCTCCTAAATAATGGAGCCTGCCAAAAAGGGGGGGAGGGGGAAGCACCAGATGGCAAATAGTAAATTTTCTTTTTCACCTATAAATAAATAACAGAATAAATACTAACCTATCTTTCTGTTCCTTGTCTGACACTGAATCCTCCCAGAATAAGCAGATCAACTGGAACTTACTTCAGAATGGGATTCAGTACCTGTGACCGACATCTTGAAAATATGTTACGTAATTTTGCACTCTAGGTCCTGGATTCCCTATTTCCTTTCACGTTTCAAGTGCCTCCTGATGCCATCATCCACATTGGAGATGGAGCATTATAATACCTGGATCACTATCTCCATCACACTGAAATCAAAATCATGGATGACTTCAAGGGTCATAAAATTCCCCTTGATGATGAACTGCAAAATCTCCTGAACTAAGAGGACTCCCATACCTTTAAAATGTTGGTGAGTGCAGAGAAAGTGAAGATTGCTAACTCAGACATTGGCACCAAATATTACTACATAGAATCATTGAAGGTGGGAAGAGACCTCAGGAGGTCAGCCACTCCTCATAAGTCACGTGCCCCAGCCCCCTAATAATTTTTGTTGCCCTCCACCGGCATCTCTCCAATTTGTCCACATCCTTTCTGTAGTGGGGACCCCAAAACTGGACACAATACTCCAGATGTGGCCTCACCGGTGCCAAATGGAGGGGAATAATATCTTCCGTCGATCTGCTGGCAATGCTCCTACTAATACAGCCCAATATGCTATTAGCCTTCTTGGCAACAAGGGCACACTGCTGACTCATATCCAGCTTCTCGTCCACTGTAATCCCCAGGTCCTTTTCTGCAGAACTGCCACTTAGCCAGTCAGTCCCCAGCCTGTAGCATAGGGGACATCGCTGTTTACTGTTTTCCATTGTGAAAACTGACCGTTAATTTCTACCCTTTGTTTTTCATCTTTCAATCTGTTACTGATCCATGAGAGGAGCTTCCCTCTGCTCCCATGGTGTGAGAGAGCAAAGGGAGTGAAGCGCATGAGGGAACTGCCTGCAGGAGACTTGAAGCCTGGAGGAGGCTCGCTAAATGAGCTAGCCAGAGACCCCTGGCATGGGGAGGGAACAGCAAGCAACTGGTTCCTATTTTTTTTCTGAGGTCACCGTCTATGCTCATTAGGATTTGGCTTCCAAATTTTAAAGGGTGTCTTTTTCCTTCTAATGGCCTCCATTACTCTGGTGTTTAGCCATGGAGCATTCTTTTGGTCTTCCTACTGTCTTCTTTGATTTGGGCTATATATTTAGTCTGAGTCTCTATTATGGTATTTTTAAGTAGTCTCCATGCCACTTGCAGGTATTTTACCTTTGTGACTCCCCTTTCTAATTTCCGTCTTAACCGGCATCCTGATTCTTGAGTAGTTTCCATTTTTAAAATGAAATATTTCCATACTGGGCTTTTTGATATTCCTCCCCCCCACACACACACTCACTCAAGGATGTTAACTTTAATTACATTATGGTCACTTCTAATGAGTGGTTCAGCTATAGTTATCTTTTGGACCAGATCCTGTGCTTCACTTGGACTAATTCAGGAATTGCCTCTCCCTTTGTGGGTTCCAGGACCAGCTGCCCCAAGAAGCAGTCGTTTATGATGTCTAGAAATTTTACGTCTACATCATGCCTTGAAATGTGCCATTTACCAAATCAATATGAGGATAGATGAAATTCCCTGTTATTGTTGCATTTTCGGGTTTTACAGCTTGTCTAGTCTCCCTGAGCATTTCACAATCACCGTCACCATCGTGGTCAGGTAGTCAGTAGTATATTCCTACTGCTGTTCTCTTATTATTCAAGCATGGAATTTCTATCTGTAGAGGTTCTACGGTACTGTTTGATTCCTATAAGAGTTTCACCTTATTTGATTCTATTTTTTCCTATTCAGAGATTGGCAGTAAGGTCCAACTTGTCCTTATGTATGTTCACAACAGTCAGATGAGCCTGGCATTCCTGTTCCCTAGTCCCAGGAAGTGATTTCACCTTCCTGGCCAGGGATATGGGCAACTTTGCTAACTGACCACAAAATGTTCCCACATTATGAATTACAGCCAGAGACACCATTGCCTCCTGAGCAGCGGGGTGGGGGACAGAGAATACAATCTAGTCAAGGATGGATTTCTCTTTCCC